TAGTGTGCCAAACAACCTTCTACTTAGGATTTTTTGAAAAATGTATTTGCAGCGGGCTGTGGAAGTGTTTCTGAAACAATTGAATCGTAAGCTTTGAAAGCGGGCCCATCTATACAAATTTTCATTAACACTGAATATTATATAAAAAAAAAAAAAGCCGAACTGAGGCCATACCGCAAAGCTTTCAGAGTAATATTTAGAACCCTTCTACAACGTTCATAAATATCGTACACTAATTTCGGTTGGTTAAGCACCGCTATCCTAATTTCCTCGATCAATATTTGATATAGGGTAGGAAACACGACGGGTAGCACGGCGTACACCTGCACGACCGTGACGACCGACTAAATAAAACAAAAACAAAACTCTGCATTTAACACAGACAAGCGACTAATAACGGCAGTCATGCGATGCTCCACGGAACCCATTACAGTCTTGTACTGCAACTTCAATGTGACCCGCATCTTGTGCGCTATGTTATCGACACCGAGTGGCTTTCCACTTCAGCGCGTACATGTCATGACGCAGCACATTTCCACTGTGCCTTCGCAGGTCTATCGCAAGTGGCTGCTCCCTCCACGAGCCTAACGCCAACAACGCAGGGAATAGCAAAGAAAACAAACAAGTCATGGCGTCCGCACCAGTGATACTCCTGGTACTCCTACTCCACCTAGGGGACATCGACGCCTGGCCGCCGTCTTCCTCCCAACCCCCGCATCCCCACATCAGCGACTTCACGGACCCCCAAACGGGGCACAACCCATTCGTACACCTCCGCGAGGGAAGCCCCCCGCCCCCGGTTCGAGTACCCACACCGGCAAGACCCCCGTACAGACGTCGGCCCCCCACCCTCGACCCTATCGAAGGCGACGTCCCAGTGGCCCGGCCCCCCTGGTACCGGCTCTTACCCGGTCCTTCTAGACCCATCTTCCCCGGCAGGGGAGGCTACGCCCTTAACCAACCTGAGGACCCCGCTAAGCCTCAACGTTTAAGACCTCCCTATGACGATGTTCCAGGAGGTAGCCCCGAAGCCGGGAGTCATCCCAGCAAACCTCATCAAACCGATCGCCGTCCGAAGCATCCTAGTGTCCTTGACAGACGTCCTGCGCGTCCCAAGCTGTCCTGGACTCCGTTTCCGAGGACCACGGAGGGAACACGGGCATCCCAAGATGATGATGATGATGGTGGTGACCATGACCAAGACAACGACACAGTTCCCAGTGAGACCGTGCTATCCACGGCAACTATTTGGACCCTAGCGTTCTGCGGTGTCATCTCTGGCGCGGCCGTGTTGTTCTTCGCCTGTCTTCTAGCGGCCTGTCGGTACAGGCAGCGGCGGAAGCGCTTTCTGGCGCCATCGCATCGCGTTCTTCAGGACATGATGCAAAACACAGCGGCCAAGACGGTGCTTCCGATACGTCCTTTCGGTCCAAGGCGAAACCCGTGAAGTGACGCGCGCGTCCGGCGGATGGGATTTGGCATCAAATCTTCTAGTCCAGCCAGGAAGACATGGTTGGACACTCAAGACTACACGAGTTTCCACGAGGCTCAAGAACTGGGTAACCTTAAGGCAGAAAGCTGCCATCTACGTAACTGGAATCTTGATCATTTTACGTTTGCTGATACAAGGACCTCATAATGAAGAAGCATGATGGCGGCCTAGTTAAACTGCTCAAGGTGAGGGCTGAGAGAAGCATCAAGGTGAGGACTGAGAGAAGCAGACAAAGGGATGATCATGCAGCTTTCAATTTGTGTACCCTTTGTGTCAAAAGAGCAACAGGTCCAGGCATTCTACTTTGCGAAATTAGTTTAATTTGTGGTAGTACGAACTAAGTGTATCATGACTACAGAAAGCACTCATCACGATTCAGAAGTGGTTTGAGAAAAGTGGCTATCCATTAGTCTTTTTGGCATCATTTCAAACAGTTTCTTTAACATCTTTCGTCAATATAATAAGAGCGTAAAAGCTGATGTACCTCATAAGATTTGGACCTCAAACTAGCACTTTAATGCAAAAATGGTCCCGTCACACCACCCAGACGATTCCCCAAAGTTTAAGGATGAGGATCAGTCACTGTGATGAAAACGAGCCCTCAGTTGCGTATCTCATTGCAGGAGCCAAAGAGATATATCTCCAAGCATGTTGCCTTCTAGTTCATTTAGGTCATAAATTCAAGACAGCTCCCCACTTGTGCAATATATGCATGCTGCAAGATGCACCCCCTCCCTTACTCCTCCCCTCTGAAAGAAAAAAAAATTGTATTGAAATGTTTACTTAGCGACATGCAATTTTAGTTCGGAGCAATTCCGTAAAAGGGGACAAAAACAGCTTCGCTCTCCAGGTCAACGTCATAGTGGCAGCAGAATAAGAGCCACTTTATAATTCTTCCCATTGGTAGAAAAGAGCGTGTTGGAGATTCATTCGTGCCTACCGCTGCATAGTCTCCTCTCCTCTGTGAAAAGGAAAGTCGCAGCATAAATATCACGTTAATCAACAAGGTTTTTTCTTTCTTTCTTTTTGTTTTGCTTTTAAGCGGGGGGGGGGGGGGGGGGGGGGAAGGGGGGAAGGGGGGGGGGGATGCTTTACATAAACGTCCTATCCAAGCAGTTTTAAAAAGAAATTGGAGAGCAGTACTTTTTATCAGTTTAGACGTGGAACATCCAATTATATGCGTAATTTCCCTTCATTTGTTACTACCGTCTAAGGACTCCATATCTGGGCATTACCCGGGAAATTTTCACAGTGCCAAATAAAAGAAAATCTTAACGGGCATTACCCGGGAAATTTCCACAGTGCCAAATAAAAGAAAATCTTAAAGCACTGTGAGTGAAGTCTCAGTTCTTCACGGGCGATACGGCAACAGAACCGCAGCAGGTAAGTAATGGAAAAGTGTAGGCATTTGGGAGCTTGCAGTAAGTTTATCAACAGACACACACAGCAAAATAAAAACAAAAAATTGGTAAACAGAATTTAATTCCTTTTACAGGGAAAAACCTTTGTACGCACGCGAAAAAGTCTGAGAACTAAGAAATTAATTGCCAGCGGGAAACAGCAGATAATCGGATAAAAAACATTTGAATATAGAAACAAAGTTTGTACAAAAATTTATATTGCATCATCCCTAGTGACCCTACATAAAACTCACTCATTGACCGCACAGCCTCATCAGTCAAACATGGCATTAAAAGGTGCGTTCTCTCAGATTGAGAAGAAACGTCTCTGCCCCAAAACCCAACATGACGACCACTGTCAAGTTTACACGGATGCAGCGATCTTCCCAGACGGTGGCCGAGTCTCATTCCTCAGCTCCACACATACATGCATCCAGGGGCATCAGCGATAGACATCTCAGAAAGGCGACCCACTTGTCATGTAACTACAGGCCATCCACGATGCTATACAAGCAGTGACCACCAAGCTGCCAACGATCCGCCATCTTCACATTTTTACAGACTTCTTAGTGCTAATTCGAGAGCTCAAAAAGGTTTCCAATGCTATAGAACTGTGTCAAAGGATACACACCCTTCACCGCAATACGTCGACCTAACCAGCATTAAGGTGTACTGGATTCAGGGTCATGCCACGAACCAATACAACCTTGCAGCTGATCAACCAAGCACGCTTCCCATCTGATCCCGATCTCCCTTCCCTCCCCCTCCCGTCTGAACCCCTTTCCCTCCTCTATGCCCCTAAACACTCTCTCCGGCAGGACACACACATCCCTCTGTGTGTCTGCTCTCTCCCCTGCCGTCTCAGCAGACTGGGGGAAGTTGTGCTTCAGACACTGCGGGCTGGGGTGGCCTTCACACCGGCTGTAACCTGCACATGGAGCTCTTCACCCGGCACACGACGGGCGACATGCCCCAAGTGTCCCCTAGACGCGACGGAAGCGGATGTGCGTCACCTTATATGGACTTGTCCTGGCCTAGAGACTGAGCGCACTCGCCTACTTATAGCTGCAGGTCTCCAACACAGTGCACCCACCAGCTACCATAAGTGGCTGCATGACAACCACTATCGCAAAACATTGCTTCAATTCATCCATACCACAGGCCTCGTAGCATACATATAAGACATTTATGTCTAAAAGAAACATTTCAGTTTTTTTGGGTGAGTTTTTTCGTGTATCTGTTAAAAAAAGAAATGTACCAGTTCACACAGCCCTTAGTTATATTAATTTATTAAATCATTATTATATTTAACCTGCACCTTTCCCCTCCCTTCACCACGAACGGGGTCCTCCATCATCTCCGCCAGTCCATAAGGGGTCCGCGAAACATCCATGGTTGAGAACCACTGGAATAGCGTAATGTTCGAAACTACTATTCGAAATTTCGAATATTTGCACAACCCTACTGTTATTGTATTTTGCGATCTGCCAAGCTTGTTTTCACAATGAGGAACAATGGAGCATAGACAACTGTCGTTTCAGTCAGAACTGTCGTTTCAGTCAGCAGTGTTTGCTCGTCTTCCTCCGTAGGTAACTAACCCCATTTCGGTTAAGGTCGCCATTGGCCAGGGCACAGCAATTATTAGAAATAAGCTATCTTCCGGTGTTTTTTAAAACAAAAAGGAAATAGTGTCAAAAATAGGAGTTGGCCGTCTTTCAGGATGTTTGTTATTTTGTTACTTTACATCGGCGCGCGCACGTCGAGCTGCCCCTCTTTGCACCGGTGTGCTCGGTGAAACGGAGGATGCGCGGGAGCATTTCGGTTAGACCAAAAGAGAATCTGAAATGTTGCTCACTATTAGAGATCGACCTTCTCTTAGAGACAATTATAGGCAAACCCCTAAAAAACAAAACCAGAAAGAAAAAGAAAAAAACAATAAACGTCGACCTACATGTTAATAAAGACTACCTTTTTGTGCAACCCACCATATAAGGTTGTTTTCATTCAACATTGTTCATTTGATCAATGAATGACCAGAACCAACGCGATATTGGTCTATTATGACAAACCGGAAAAGTTTCATTAAAAAACGAAAAGGTTCCACTCACCGGTACAAGTCGTACGTGAAGCAGTCTTTGTACGGAAGGCTTTTTGCCAGGGGATGGGTCTGTACAACAAAACACGCCCGGCTAAGAAAAACATTTAAATTCCTCAATCGACACACATGCCCTGTCATAGTCATTATAACTGGAATCCTCCGTTTGTGGCATCTTGTAATGCCCCTGCTGGCTTAGAAAAGCTAGTCCCATGTTTAGCCAGATGCACAAAACTAAAAAGGATATTTTTGAAAGCTATTTTTTTTTTTTCACTGTTATTCTATAAGGATTTCCTCGGGCATTCATTAATTGGGACCACTATCTCAATTTGTTTCCTTGGCTAGCATTTAGGCAGGTCCAGAATGAATCCACCGAGATACCATAATACTAGTACTAGTATCTTGCCTGATCGTAACGGGATATTGCTAAACTTTGGTACTGTTAAGGTGAAGGCAGCATGGCTTCTTCTCGGCAGGGAGGCAGGACACTTGATGTTCAATGCAAAAGGAGTACTGAAGGTTAGTTGCCAATAATTTGGTTGCACCATGAGTGCCATTGACATTTATAATAGTCACAATAGTTCCAAATGCTCATGCGCTCATAACAATTATTACTTTTAGTTAAGCTTTTATTGATTGCGAACTTCAAATCAGAATTTCAAAAAACAAACCTGGTTGATTCCTCAAGAATAAGTAGAAAACATTATGAATGTGTCACGAATATACCTAAGAAATGTCAAACAGCCAATAAATTTCAATGTGCAGTTCCTCTTTGTTTTTGCAACACGAAATGGTGCTTCGAAGTTAAGTCTTCTAAGGGTGATTTCAGATAAGATCGACCAAAGGGTGGCTGGTCGACATTTTTAAATCAACTGATGTTTTTATATGACATTGTCTAGTGTCTGGTATAAACGAATCCACACTTAGTTTTGACCAGAAAAAAAATTTGGAGACAAGAAAAATCGTAAGGCAGGGAGAGATGCACAGTTGCAATAACGCGCACTGATGGAGGGGGCAAGTTTGAAAGTGAATAATTAAAACAATAAAATTAGGAGAATTTTAAAACGTTTTACAAACAAACTATGGGTACAACTTGCTTGTAATATAAAGTAATAATATTTATTAAAAATTTATTTAGTTTTCTAAAAATTGCCAAACATGCCTGCTCGAACGACAAATGGCAAACTTTGGAAATCTGTATCTCATGAAATAATTTAATCATTATTACATAACTTGCAGACATTATTTTACTAATATATGGCTATTATTGAAAAAATAAATAAGGTATCTGAGTGACACAATAGTTACAATATATTTAGGCAAACATGGGAAAAAAATCAAACAAAGAAAAATTCCAATGCGAATAAAAAAAAAACACCACTTTCGATTTTTTTTAAATTTGGGTACCCTGTTTGTTGTGTAGTTACCGCCAAGCGCGCGCTACTGGGACTATAGTGGCGGCGCTTTAGTTCCTTCGCTCTTCTTCTTTATCGTCGTGTCAGTTTGATAGCACGAGAGGTTCGTTCTAGTTCCACGCTTCATGGAATAAACCTCGGGCCATGGTCCTCCGGTCTACTGTGTCTGTTGCCCCGTCAAGACACGACAACTTGGCGACGAGGAGGCTTCGCTGAACTGCTACGCGGAAGCCGACATGGCAACGGGGGATCCGGCAGCGACGGGTCAAGTGCCGCAAGTCTTCGGCCGGCTGGGACACATCGAGCCCTTCGACGAATCGACGAGCGACTGGCCGTCGTATGAGGAACGACTCACGTCGTTTCTTCTGGTCAACCGAATCGCCGAGGACGACAAGGTACACGCATTTTTGAGTCTCATAGGCCCGAAAACGTACAGTCTTCTGAAATCATTGACCGCACCGGAGTTGCCAGCAAGAAAAACGTTTGATGAGCTAAAGAAGCTTTTGGGAGATCACCTGGCACCGAAGCCATCGGTAATCAGCGAGCGCGCAAAGTTTCACAGAAGAACGCAGCTCGAGAACGAATCTGTAGCAGCCTTTGTTGCAGAATTACGCAAATTGGCGCAAACCTGCGACTTCGAAGCCGCACTTGACCAGTCCTTGAGGGACCGTTTCGTCTGCGGTTTACGCAGAGAGGACATTCAACGTGTGTTGTTCACAGAGGACAACAAGCTAACTTTCCAGAGAGCCGTCGAAAAAGCGCTAGCCATGGAAGCAGCAAAAAAGAACGTCGCTGAAACACATGCGTCAGAACCTAGAGTTTCAGACGTACACAAGGTGAAGGCCGTCGCGGAGGCGAACGTGACGCAGCGAGAATGCTATCGCTGCGGCTCAGCGAAACATGGAAGCCGGGTATGCCCGCACATTGCGGATATCTGTTTCAAGTGTAACAAGAAGGGGCATGTCCAAAGAGTGTGTCATGCGGACAAAGAAAAGAAATCGAAGTGGACGCCACGTAAGGCGATGAAGAAACTGGTTCCTGTTCAAGACCCAGTTGGCATGAAGGAAATGACCACGTCTGGTATGGAACCAATAACACTCACAATAAACGTGCAGGAAGTTGCCTTGGAAATGGAACTGGACACAGGAGCAACTGTTTCTGTCATGTCACTGCAACAGTTTCGTCAGATATCTCCTTCAACAAGGATCATGCCGACGACGCTCAAGCTGCGCACGTTCAAGGGAGACATCGTTCAGCCCGTCGGGGTTGCTCACGTCGACGTGCAGTACGGACAGCAGAGGACCGAGCTTCCCCTCTACATCACAAGAGAAAAGGGACCACCTCTGCTCGGCCGGCAGTGGCTGCAAGCGATCCGATTGGATTGGAACCGGATTTTCGGGATCAACAGCATTGCCAGGTCAGATGTTTTGGCGCTTTCCGAACAACGCACAAAGCTTGGTGTGCTTCTGGACAAGTACCAAAATCTGTTCAATAAAGACCTGGGAACTATTGCTGAAGAAAGGGCAGAGCTGACGCTAAAAGAAGGTCACGTACCGAAATTCCTCAAGGCAAGAAACGTGCCGTTTGCCCTACAGCCTGCTGTCGAGGCTGAACTAAAGAAGATGCAAGACATGGGCGTCATAACACCAGTCACAACGAGTGATTATGCGACGCCGGTTGTGCCAGTAGTGAAGAAGGACGGTGGAATAAGGTTGTGCGGCGACTACAAGACCACCGTGAATCCTTGCCTTGACACTGACCAGTATCCGCTCCCGAGAGTCGACGACTTGTTCGCAGCGCTTTCAGGAGGCCAGGAATTTTCGAAGATTGATTTAAACCGGGCTTATCACCAGGTGGTGATGGCTGAAACGTCGAGCAAGTACCTAACTTTAAATACACACAAAGGACTGTTTGCCGTAAACAGGTTACCGTTCGGAGTCTCCTCGGCACCAGCCATTTTTCAGAGAATCATGGACACAATGCTGAAAGATCTGAAAGGCGTCAGTTGCTACTTGGATGACGTCCTCATCACCGGTAGGACGCCGGAAGAGCATTTGGCCAATTTGGAAGCAGTCCTAAAGCGGTTGTCAGAGCGTGGAGTTCGTGTGAAGAAGGAAAAATGCGCGTTTTTCCAGAAGGAGCTGCGTTATCTGGGCCACGTGATCAGTGCTGCAGGTGTCAGCACGACGCCAGAGAAGATCGAGGCTCTGCTGAAGGTTGCTGCACCCTCAAGCAAGCAGCAGCTCCAGTCATTCCTGGGTATGGTAAATTACTACGGGAAGTTTGTTCCACGATTATCCACCCTGGCGAGCCCGCTCTACAGGCTGCTGCGTCAAGACCAGCGCTGGTGTTGGGACAAAGCGTGTCAAGCAGCGTTCGAGGAAATCAAGACAGCGCTAGCAACACCATCGATTCTGGCACACTACGACCCAAGTAAGCCATTGCAAGTGGCGTGCGACGCATCCCAGTATGGCATAGGCGCTGTTCTGTCTCATGTGACTGAAGATGGAAACACTCGTCCTGTGGCGTATGCATCACGCACACTGACCGAAGCTGAAAAGAAGTACAGCCAACTTGAAAAGGAGGCACTAGCCATTATTTTTGGGATCAAAAAGTTCCACTTATACATCTATGGCCGAGTTTTCACTCTCGTCACGGATCACAAACCGCTACAGACTATTTTGGGCCCAAAGACAGGCATTCCGTCTATTGCGGCAGCACGGTTGCAGCGCTGGGCTGTTACCTTGTCAGCGTACAAGTACTCGTTGGTGTACAAGAGATCCAGTGACAATGCAGAGGCCGATTTTTGCTCTAGGTTCCCTCTCGAAAGTGGGAAAGACGATAGTTGCGAGGGCGAAGAGTCCTTCTATGCACTGCGGCTAGAGTCAATGCCGGTGTCCTCTCAGGAGATTGCACGCGCTACGTCGCGCGACCCGTTACTTTGTCAAGTACTTGAATACACAAGCATGGGTTGGCCGACGCACGTGCAAGAACAACAACTCAGACCGTTCTTTGACAGACGCTTGCAGATGAGTGTTCATCAAGGGTGCCTAATGTACGGCATGAGGGTTGTTGTTCCGTCCCAGCTGCAGGAGCCCGTGCTCGACGAACTGCATCAAGGCCATCCCGGCATCGTGCGAAGTAAGGAGCTGGCTGGCAGCTATGTTTGGTGGCCATCAATTGACTCAGACCTTGAAAGAAAGGTACGAAGCTGCCAAGCATGCCAGGAACAGCGTAATGATCCATGCAAAGCGCCTCTTCACCCCTGGGCATGGCCGACAGCACCGTGGAGACGACTACACCTGGACTTTGCAGGCCCGTTCCGCGGAACCATGTTCCTAGTCGTGGTGGACGCGCACTCAAAGTGGCCAGAGGTGTTCACCATGCAGAGCACTACGACCGAGCGCACTGTGAGGTGCCTACGTGAACTTTTCTGCAGGTTCGGAATTCCGGAAACAATCGTTTCAGACAACGGGCTGCAGCTGGTGTCCGAGGAATTCAAGGTGTTCATGAGGAACAACGGAGTCAGACATGTCGTGGGCGCTCCATACCACCCGAGCACAAACGGCCTGGCAGAACGGTTTGTGCAGACACTGAAGTCTGCACTACGCAAGTCATCCGCTGGTGAGTCTCTGGAAGAAGCATTGCAACACTTTT